GAAAGTTTTCATTTTCTTTTAAATAAAGAAATAGTTTTTCTGGCAAGGAGGATATATATCATTCTGGATATGCAGAACTTTGTCAGCAGACAAAACAATATTTCTGTCTATTGACAGTATCAGTGGTTTGGTATTTGGGGTGTGCTACAACTCTGCCTATGGCATTTTAGATAAGTGAAATGACACATCCTAAAGGATGATTAATCCTATTTAATAAAATGGAAATTCAGTGTCAGTAAGAGGTAGATCAGGTCTTTGCATTCTTTGAAGGGGAGAGACTGAGACATCAAAGATCAAGGTGCAGTTTTGCAGAAGCCTCTTTCTCCTGGCTGCAGTTTGGGAAGACTAACATAGGCTCACATTTTTGGGAAAGGTGTCCACACTTGGGAGATGTGTCAATGCTCTAAGTAGGGTGTGTTTTTTGGATTGCAGCAAAACAAACGGAGATTGGCTGGCAGGCTGGTGGAGCCGTGGGGAAACTGGGCTATTCCCGTCTCTGGAGCTAGAGAGAGGCAGCTTGGTTTGATGCCACGTGGGTTGGGACCCAACACAGGGATACAAGGAACGGGTAGTTACTGTAGTTGAGAAGTGTTTTTGAAAGTCTGAGAAGACTGACATGTTGAAACCTCAAGAATACAGAGGAATGATGCAGAAAAACTTTGCACTTTGTGCCTCAAAACCAGACTTTGTCTCTTGAAACAATCACAAAAGCCAAGTACTCAGAAAACAAGAGATTTCTTTGGCAGTTATTGACAAAGACCCCATAGCAGCATTTGAGTGATGTTGTGTGGACAGGGGATGCTCATAGGCAAGCAATGGCAGCATCAAAGCAGTTCAATGCCCAGCTGTAGAACTGATGACCCACTGATGCTCCCAGGCTCTCTCTGTACCCTCTATGGACTTCATTTAAAAGCAGCACAAGGGAGTTCAGTCCCACCAGAGAAGCTGCTGCAAATGTCTGTGTGGTGAAATTGGTGCCCTGCCTTCCCACCCCATCACTGTCTTAGTGAAACATAGTCTTACAGCCTGGCTCTCCCTTGAGGTGCAATCCAGCTGAGTGATTCCTTTGGGTGCAGATAATTGCTTCACTTTCCTGCTGCTCCACCTCTCCTTGTCCAACAGCACACACAGAAGGGAAGTGGCAACAGGAGTGAACTTCCTCCCCAGCCTCAGGGGATCCTACTCACCTCTGCTGGGAAGGGGCCCTGACAGCCTGAAGACAGGGCAGGACGCAGCAGCCTCCAGCCTCCATCCTGGAAGGGGGCCACACCAGTGGCTGAGTGCAAATTAAACAGTCATAGAAAAATGGGCAGGCAGGAACTGCATTTGCATTAAACAGGCATAGAAAAAATGTGTCTGCTCAGACAAAAAGTGATGTCCAGGAGCCACAACCAGGAAAGTATTAAAACCTCTTTGTACAGCTCTGTGAATTCAAACTCTGAGTTAACGATTGTTAATTTAGTGTTCTCTTCAGTTAAACTAATTGCAGAGTATTCTACATACACAAAGAAATTAATTTCAAAAGGAACAGCATTGGGTGAAACACAGGTCTGACTGTTCATGTCCCATCTTCCTCGCACCCTTAAAACCATTCTAATCACACAATAGCCCTAGTACAGCTCTTTCTGCTTTCATGCTGCTCCATTTGTTGATGCAATTCTTTCCCCTGCTTTGGCACAGAGAATGGCTCTGTTTTTACATTGCATTTTACCCCTGTCCCATTCAGCCATGCTGTCATACTCACATCACCATGCAGAAAATCTGCAAGGTACATACTGAGGCTGCAAGGAATAGCAATTAACCACGGAGCCACTGCACTCTAAATAACCAACCCTACAAAAAAATATTTCATTACTGCAAAGGCTCCATCAGCAGTGATCAGGATGGCAGAGCACTTTGCTATTGCTCTGTGCTATGTTGTATTTACAAGCTTCTTTGGAAGTGCAGAAATTGCACCTATTCCCACAGAAATGTCCCTGCTCCCTCTCACAGGATGATAAGAGGGTGGTTATTACAACATCCCACAGAGTAATCCTGAAGGGTATAGGACAAACTCAAACACCCACAGAATTCAAAGTAAAAGGACTCTGACAAACAAAAAGCCTGGATTATATGTAGGGTAATGACTAGGAAAACCCTTATGCTAGGAAAATACAGCCCTGCGAAGAATTATCATTGCTCCCACAGTGCAGGTTTTGTAAGACTCATGCTCTAGTTTCAATAAGTCTGAGACACACAAAAAAACATCAGTCCTGTTGCCTGGTTAGCCTTGCTTAAGGTCAAAATACCTACAAGCCCATTCAGTACAGTATGTTTTTAATCAGCAGTTTCCTGGGTTTGCTCTCATGCCCCAGAGATACCATTCCCACAGAAAGTTTAGCTGTAGAAATAAATGTATATATTCAGAGCTGGCTATTTATACATGAAATCAAAATAAGTACAATAATAAGAACAAAGAAACTACAGATCTTTAATAGCCATTTCTGTTCTTTTTCTGTAGGAGAATGCTGAGTTTGAAATTCAGCCCTGGAGATATTTTTCACTTTCTCTAGACTAAGTTAATGTTCAATCCTGAGATGCCTGAAGGGAGCTGCTTGCCAACACCGGAGGAGGGCTTGGAGTAATTTCCCCACCTCCTGGGTAATTTACTACCTTCTTGGTAAGGTATCCTTTGGGAAGATAATGGGTCCTTGGCCCTCATCTACATAATGCTCAACGGTTGTTTTTGATGTTCCAAATGTAAGGTGTTTTCCAAAAAAATTCCCATTGAGACATAACAAGCTGGCAGTGTTTCCCTGAAAAATCCCAAGTACTGAATCTTGTGGGAAAGGATGCTGACTCACTGGTTCAATACTGAGCTCTGATATGAAGTTAGGTCAGTTGCATTATTCAGGCAAGAAGAAGAAAGCAATAGAAATGAGAAAGCAAGAATGAAGAAAAGACAGTTTTATGTTTCTTTATGAATGAAGTCATATTGTAAGAAGAGTGAGGTTAGACTGATTTGTCATACATTACTTTAGCTGATCTGCATGAATTTGTTTTATTCAGGTTTGCTGTGTTGTGCCTAGGGAATACAAATTCAGTGTTGGATTTTAAATTGCAGGATCCTCATCTAACTCTGCTTTTATTCCAACCCATGAAAAAAGTTTTCCTCTCCTTTCTCTCCACCGGAGTCTGAACACCCTGTAGTTCTCCATTCTTTGAGTAAAATCTGAAATGGATGAGAAAACCTTTCTTTAAATGAACACTTTAGAACTGCCCCTTCTGAATTCTGCCCTCTTAATTATGGCATGGTTTTATTTATGTATGATTTATCATGGCTTTGGGTGCACAGTTCATTCTCAAAAGTAAAAGGCAATCTTCAGGACCACAGCAGGCATGAAAATATGTCTTACTTTTTATATTTCTTTTAAAATTATGATTTAAGGTTTATGCCTGGAATTTTTCACATGTCCAAGGCTTACTTGTTTCTGTGGGATTTGTAAATGTTTTAGAGAAAGGACCTACTGAAAAATTAAATTTCCACAGGCAAGTAAAAAGAGCCAGTCTGCACCACTGCCAGTGCAGTCACTGCCAGCACAGACAGTCATTGCTACAAAAGGAAATATTTTCAGCTACAGTGCTCAGACAAAGAATTATAAGGAAAAAATACTATTTCAGTGTTTATTCAGAGTAAGAAAATCTCCTTGCTTCTGGAAAGATGGGCTGAAAAGAAATGGATACAATTTAGTTTTAGCTCGGCTATACCATGCGGGATTACCCGAGCGATAACCGCAGGCTCTGGGAGCCAGCCCAGAGCCGACATCCTGCCTCCCATCCCCCGAAGGCAGCGCTGAGCACCGACCAGAGAAATTCTTGTGGAAGCTCAGATTTCAGATCCTCTGGCTTTTCACTTCTACCTCCCAAGCAAACATTGGCTAGTTGCGCCAGAGGGGAATTTTGAGTCTACAGAGACAGACACCTGATTATCCAAAAACTTTCTGGGTTATGCTAATGTGTCTGGTTTCAGTCTGGTCTTTGCAAATTTTCTGTGAACCCTGTTTCAGTTCCTCTTTTCCTGTGAATATCTCTGTGGACAGAATTTCAGTGGATGCCTGGTACTGCTCCGACTGATGTTGCACACCAGTATATTTTGATTTGTAGCTTTTTTCATTTACTGACAGCGTAAGTGAATGGCCAGGCTCTGCAGTCTACCCCAGATTAACCTTGTCTTCTTGCTGCTAGAGCTCCACCAGTGGAAAGCAGCCAGGGGTAATATGAAAGAATAATGCATAACTGCCTAATTCTTGGAGATGCATTTCCAGCTAGAGGACAAGTCAGGAGTTACCACTAAGGAGCAGCCTCTGGGAACTCCTTGCTTGCTTCTGGAAGCAGCAGGAAGCTCAAGGAAAGGGTTAGTGACTGCTTGCTGGTTGATGGCAAGAACAGAGGAAAAAAGTAATCTCAAGTCCATGGGTCACTTCACCAGCTCACCCTGAGTCAACAATTTGGTTTTCTTTTAAATGCTTGATTGAATATCAATATGCTACAAGTGGAGAAGCAAAGTATTTCATATTTCCTCTGTCAGCTGCAGTGAATGCTTCACGTTTCTCTGCTCAGTCCAATGGCTTTGTGCTCAGAAAGATTTGGCACCAAGGTTTATTTGAATATGGCCAGAGATGGAGCTTTGGCTTCAATGGTCACAGTGCGTCTGTCCCGCACTCTGCTCTGTCCCTTGCCACGGGCACAGGGCCACCTCACTCACAGAGCCTGCTGCAGCCACGCGTGGGCAGAGCCCAGAGGGGTTCAAAGATTTCAGCTGATGTGAAATTTCCCCTTCCTCTGCCACTGGGTTGAGGGAACCCCAGATGCAAGTCAAAGAGTTTAGATAATTCACACAGCAAAATCTGAAAGCACTTTTGAATTCAAAGCAAGAGGTTAAACTAAGATTTTCCTTTTAAAAAGACAAATTTATTTGAAGTTAAACCAAGTCAAACAAAAGCAAATGTCATATGTTTAACTTAAAGCATTTTAAATTAAAACAAAAGAGAAAAACATAAATAAACAAAAACCATAAATGCTTTTCTTAATCCTGTTTTTCTTTTCTAAGCATAAAAGAGATGAGCTGAAGTGTAACATGGATGTCAACTCCACTTGAGTGCACTAAGTGGAGTGGTTTCCATTCACAAAAAAGTTGTATTTACCTTTAAAATTAGGGGGAAAATTATCTAAACCTTCAGAAATAATTACATTGTGCATAAATTGTGTGTGTTTATGGTTATACAACAAGTGGTTAGATCTGTTTGCTTAGAAAAAACTCCTGTGATCTTAGTGCAAATAGATTGTGGATGTATCTTAGTTTAAATGGATGCAGAACAGGTTTCCTTTAGCAGGCACTGTCACATACAATTTGTGGGATGTAGACAGAACTATTTAGTTGCTCTGTGCAAAAAGGACTAAAAGTACTGGCTTAAAACATCCTACAAAGAAGAAAGACTAAAGAAAATGGGGACTGAAGGTATCCCTAGATTTCTGACTGTAGCAAGTGTCTTCTGTCAGTTGCCTTCATCTTCTGCCTGAGAGGACTGTGAGGAATAAGATGAACTCATTTATCCTTGGCTTAGATCCATTTTGTTTTCTAGCAAGCCCCGATTTTGTTACATTATGGTAGGTTCGGTTTGTGTAAGTCCCTCATCCCTGGTGCATCCCTGCTTTTCTCTGTCTTTCAGGCTGTTCTTTGTGGGATAACTTGTACAGCCTCTTAATAAAGTCAGATTAGTGAATCAAACCCACTAACCATCATATCCAAAACAAATAGGGCCCAAAGTTGCAAAGTAAGAAGGATTTTGCCTGCACTCCTAAATCTCTTCAGAAGAGAAGCCAAACTTTTAAGAGAGTTGGCAGAAGGTATTAAAGGAGCTTTTCTTACCAAGTGAGAGCAAAATCTGGGTGTTGATTACCTTCAAAACAGCTCAAATACAGACATTTTTACATGGCTTTTTTTTTACCTGGGTAATCCATTACTTTTTATTCCAGACAAAAATTCAGGTTGAACAAACAGTGAAAGTGGCCTTTCTTTGCCATTGTGTAAGACTATTTCTCTCTCAGAAGTGTAGCTGGTTTTTATTACACAAATGAATAACCAGGCATGAAAGAAATCAGTTATTTAGCCCTTTCTGGAAGAAAGGTCTTCATTTTTTAATAACTGCTGATGTTTCTGCTTTAGCAGCCTATGTGCATTCACACTGCTCTGAATCAAAAAAGGCCTTGACACTTGCAGAGTGTAACTTGTCCTTCTTCCTGTGGCCCTGGAATAGATGATGAGGAACGATGTAGTGATGAAATGTTTCAGAAGAGCTGACACACTGAAGATATTTGACCAGACCTATATCCTGGATCTGAGCCCCCTTTTGACTCTGGCACACCTGTGATTAGGGCCCAGGCTTTCAGCTCTCCCTGGTATCTATGATCAAGTACACCAAAATCTCTCCCATCTTTTTTCTCCCAGCCATGCACTCCTCAGTGAGGCGGAAAGAAATAAAACTGTGTTTCCAGTCTGAAGCCTCACTGGCTTCATGGACATGGAGAAGCAGTCTGAAATGTGTCTTCTGCAGGCAGTTCATCCAATTGTCCATGCTGAACAGCAGTTCCATGGCTACATAATCTTCTATTAAAAAATGGCTGAGAAGAAAAAGAGGTCTGAGGGAAGTGCAGGGGACTAGGACTGCAGGAAGAGTAGACAATAGTGAAGGAGCAAGGATAAAATAGGAGTCAGTATAATTAAAGGAGCAGTTTGGAATACAATGCTGTGTTGTAGCTCTCACAAGGAGCATCTCACACGTGTTAGATACTCTCTTGGTCACAAAAGAGCTGTTCCTGAGGCGGCTGTTTGTGACCTGCATGCTTAGAGGTAAAGACCACAACTGCACCCTGAGAAGGAAAGGAGGAAAGTAGAAGTGAAACACACTGACAAACTGAACCAGAACTCAAGCAGAAGAAAGCAAGCAGCAAATTTCTCCTTCTTTCACCAAAAATATGCAGGCTGAATATGCATTGACTTCACATATACTCCTATATTATGACTCCAGACAGAATGTCCCAATGGGCAATGAACAAAAACTGAAAAACAGGAGATCACTTATGAACATCAGGGGTTTTATCCATGTTGTCCTATGAGAATGAAGAAAAGAAAAAAAAACCCAAACAAACAAACAAAACTTTTTTTTTTACTGTGAGGATGACTGAACTCTGGAAGAGATTAACCAGGGAGGTTTTGGAGTCTGCATCCTTAGAAGTATTTGAAACATTTCTGGATGCAGTCCAGGATGACTGGCCCTAGGTGGCCCTGTTTCAAGAGGGGGGTTATATCAGTTAACCTCCAGAGGTTCTTTAAACCCCCAGCCATTCTGTGATTCTGTGATTCTGTGAATGCCACGGTGTATCTTTGTGCTATGTTGGACTTGGCCAAAAGGAGGAGAGGCCATACATGGTGTATGTATGACTCCTATGTCACCACAGTCCGGCTCACCTGGCACCATCTCCAGAGGGGTTGTGGCACATGCTTCACCGTCACTGGGGAAGCAACAGTGCAACAAGGTGTCAAATGCATCTAGACTCCATTTTCCTCTGCCTCTCTGGGACTGTTTTTCCCTCCCTGGGAAAGCCATTTGTATCTGCTTTTAAAGTCTGTACTTGAGGGAAAAAATAATCTATTTATTCTAACAAAGAGGACCTGAAAATACATGGTGTGCATGTATGCTTAGGTCAGAAGTGCACCTGCCTCAATGATAATTATTCTGTATTTTTAGCATCAGGGTGGACAAATCTTTCTATTTTCTCCACTGAACATTAAAAAAAATAAATCCTTCCTGTTACACACCCAGTACTCACAAGGATTGTTATTCCAAAGGCACTGTCCACTTTGTTAACACATGCACAAAAGTTGCTTTAAAGCAGGTGGATAAACACAGCCTGGCTTTATTTCTTTTCTTTACTAATGTGACATTTCAGCTTGGTTGGAGTGTTTGCTAAATTTTACAGTCCCTAATTCTTCAGTTCAAATGCTGAAATTCTAATGCTGATCTAATATGTTCAGCTCAACATTCAGAAATAGACACTAGGTACATTCAGAATTGCACGATTGTTTATCTTGATTTTGCTACTAAATAATCCTTAAACTTTCAGTTTTAGTAAACACAATTTACAAGAAAATCCCTCATTTACTTATATAAAACAAGACTAAGTAAATGTCTTTATACTTCTTTCATATTTTCTTTTTCTGATTAAGATAAAGTAGTGATAAAAATTAATTAAGAATTAAATGATTTCTCACAAAAGCCTTTTTTCCAGACAGTAGAAGCTTCCAGAGATTTAGGATGAAGGGATTCCAGCTCATTAGACAGCTCAGTCTTGCCAATCTGTTTACATGGAGAACAAACGAAATACAAGAATTAAGATAGTTTCAGAATTCAAGTGAAACAGCTCTGCAAGATGCTACAGAAAGCAATGCAGCAGAGCTTCTGTTGCAATTTCTATTTAGTAAGATATGATAAATCCATTTGCCTGACCCTGAATCTCAAGCTCTCTAGCCTGGTGGTAGAGATTTGTTCCACTTAACCAGATGTAGCAAGTGTGACCTTGACTGCACTGAGGTACTCCACAGGGGCTGTGAGACAGTGCTGAATGTCCACACTGCTTGTGCCATTTTTTTGCTCAGCACAGGCAGACCAGGAGTCTGGAACTCTCTGCTATTCTGTCTACAGGTTTAGATATTAGAAGAGTTATATCACTTCCCTCTTCCCCTCTGTGTACTGGCCTGTCCTTCATTTCTCATCAACACTCTTTATGAGTTGTGTTCAATAACACTCCCAGATGGTTTTTAAAAACATGCTGGTTTAACATTTCTTCAAAAAAATAACAGATTCCCATCAGACATAATTTTACAGTCTTATACAAATGTTGAATTCCCCTCCTTATTCCTATTGACCTTGGCTTTACTTAAATCCTGTGGTTGTGCATTAGTGCTTCTGCATAATATAAGATCATTTCCCTTTAGTAAGATTTACACTGCAGTGCTTTAAAAATGACTAAGTATCTCCTTGTTCTTGCAGGAAAGCCAATAAGGTGTCTTTTACCTGACTGTCCATTCTTATTTGTTTCCAACTTAAACAGTCCTGTGATTATTTGCTCTTTGGTGTAGTGCTTTGCATAGCCCATGAAGTTAATCTGCAGATTAGAGCAGTCAGGAAAGAGAGGACAAAAATTGACAGGAGAAAGCCAAGTATGGAGGAGCTGAATATAGGAAGGGCTATGAATGTCCACTGAAATTCTTTCTCAGTATGTTCTTTTGACATAAAGTTTGTTTCTGGGTGTCAGTGCATGCATGTCCTCCAATGTGAGTGGCAGGTAGCCTTTGGTGAGTGCGACAGGGAAGCAAAAGAAAGAAAATCGGAGACAATCCAGAAAGTTTTGAAAACAAAAAGAGAGGTGAGGAGGATCTGTTGGCCTGTCTGATGCAGCAGGATCTAAGGATCTGATTACCAGTTGCAAAGGGACTCCAGACAAATAAAGGTGGGAACAGACCAACACTGTATGTTGTTTTGCCTATCAGAAGTGAGCATGAAAATTAGACAGAAGTGTGACTTGTCACCTTGTCTTGCTGGCTGACCACAATGTTCTTGGAATGTTATGAATGATGGGTTCACATTTAACTTTTCTCTTGATTTTTGAGGTTGGGTTGGGTTTTTTTCCTTCTCATTTTCTTGGGGCACTAGGCACTACTGCACTGTCCACTCAGGCAAAGTGCACTTATATCAGCATCTCCGCAAGTACAGGACCAGCATGGAATTTTCCATTTTGTTAGAAAGTGTGTATTTGTCAAAAGCAACTTATTTCAGTGAGTGCTTGCATGCCAGCTTTCTTGAGAAGAATTTTGAAGTGTCTACCTGGAATTTCCAGTGAAAACAGGCTGCTCAGTTTCCATAACTGTTTGTAAAGGCACATAGGGTGTGAGAGATCTGAAGTCAAGTCCTTGGCTCCTGGAAATATACCACTGCTGGTATAAAACAAAATAGGAGAGACTGAGAGAGTGTTACCCAAAGAAAAGCAATAACGTGGTGTGAAGGCACTTACATTGGGGAAGAATAATCTTCAAGTCCATGGACTGAATACAGAATACATACCTCACTCAAGTCTGACACATTCTATATGTATTTCTTAGTGCTCCAAGGTGTTGAATTGTGGTAATCAATTTCAGTAAAGAACATGAAAAAATGTCAATACACCCTATAATTCTGGATTAACTGACCTCCATGGGCATGAACTAGCATGCAAAATAATGTCTCAGCTATGCAACCTGATGATATTAACATGTCCTATGTACCTGAATAACCTTACCCAATATTCCTTGATGGTGCTCACCATACACTACCACTTTGGGATCTCATCTCTTTTATCCAAAAGTAGAATCCAAATGAGCAACAAAACAGATTACTGTTGAAATTATTCCTGCCTAAGAAGGCAAGACTTCAGAAAAAGCATATGCTGAGAGCCAAAAGATGCATTTGTGATAACAAAGCTTTTATGTCAGCCTTGATGTTACTAACAGAGTCTTTTTACTTAGGAATTCCTTAAACTGTTTCACAAAAAATAGGCTTAAACTTAACTGAACTTAAAAGCATGGCTCCCAATTAATAGTGATGTTAATTTAGTTTTTACTGAGATACCCTCAAGAAATGTAACATGGCCTTATTTATTGTGTCCATCTCGGTCTGAGCTATTTGTGTCTGCATGTTTCTCATCTCCCTCCAAGATAAAATCCAGTAAGCTCTTCCAACAACCAAACCATCTAGAGGCCATGATGCTGCCTTTCATGTTTTTACTGTTGAACTCAGCTCCCAGTAAGGTACTGGCTACTGTTGTCAAAGCACCACAGGCCTGAAAATAGACCCAAGATTGTTGCAGAGTCATTTATTCCAATAGCAAACCAGAAGTCTACTAAATCTCCCTCACAAACAAATGACAATCAATCTACTCATCATAATAAAATTTTCCTTTAACATGAAGGGTTACACAATGTATTGACTGCATCATATTTTCCACCCCATCATCTCATTAAAATACCTATACCTAAATGCTTGGAGAAGCAAGTGCGTCCTGCAGCCAATCATTAGGCCAAAGGTAGGCATAGAAATTTATTTTCCAAGAAGATTTAAAAAAATGACTTGGAGCCTTTTGGAATTTCTTACTTTCACTCATTTGTCTTGTTCTCCCTTTGCCACTTCTGGTTATCTCATCTACTTTGGCTCTTTGAAAGAAAAGAATTGCTACAGCAAGAAGGAAACCAATAAAACCATTTTCTGAGATTGCTGACAGCTCTGTGACTCCTGTGCACCTGGAAAAAAATCAAGGTATCAGCATATTTCTTTGTCCTCTTGATAGTCAGAAGTGATGAGCACAGTCTATACAGACTATGCCAGTCACTCCTGCATGAAGGTCTGATGGCAAAGTCATGGTTTAGGCCATTCTGCAAAATAAATCTCCTTTCTGCCAGGAAGAAAGCATATATCTATCTCTCAATCTCATATAATGCCCAAACCTTCTCTTTGAAATGATACAGAAAGTGCATCTCTCTGGGAACACCTGGATCAAACTGGAATTAAGAGTTGATTCTGGCACCAGAACACAATTTCTCCCACTCTATGGCTCCCATGAGCAATGAAACTCTAATTCAGACTTGATCAATTTAAATGTTTTATCAGAAATATAATGGAGATTAAAAAAGGTTTTCTTATTGACACATCAAACTCACCTATTACTAAGAATCATTTTGCAAGACTGAATGATATTACTCAAAGTTGCATCCCCCCAAACATGGCTAAATGTCCTCTTTCATTGTATGTCCTGAAGTACTACCCCCTTTTTCCCCTTGGGCAGGTGTTTGGAACATGTCCTGGCCCCATAAAGACATGGTGTCCGGCAGTGGTGGCCTCTAAGCCATGTCCCAGCCTCAGCTGGGCACGCACCAGCTGGCCCTGACTGTCCCCATTCTGGGAACATGAAACACAGGGAACAACCATTTACTGGTGTCCAAGCCCTATGGATTTCCCAAGCAGCCTGAGGGTACTCTGTATTTCTGGTGCCTTGGCTAGATTACAGAAGGCCTTTTGCCTTCCCCTACACATTTCCATTCACCCCTCCCACTCACACACCCTTGTGTCGTCCTCCCTGTGACCCAGGGGTGTCCCTGCAGTGTCAGTCCTCAAGCTCCCCACATCTCACCATCCCCACAGCTTTCACTTCTCCCTCTCACACATTAGTTGACAACCAAATCCTTAGGCTCCACAATCTGAATAAACTAATCTCAGTTTCTGGTAATAGTGGTGCTGGTAATAGTGGTGAATGAGGTGAACTAATACAAGTTTCCCTCCCAGTTCTATCTTTCCATGATATTTATCTCTCAGCTGCCTCCTCTCTCCTGCTGTCCCTTTCCCTTCACCAGAGAGAAGGATGCCCTCTGCACCACCTCTGCAGACTCTGCTCAGCCCTGCAGATTCTCCTGGAAGCTGCACGAGGATGAGTGGCCAAGCACCACCAAAGCAAACAGCCTTTTGAACATTCATTTCTCGATAGATCCACAATAGCCCCAGGTGTGCAGGGAGCAGCCTGCTGGGTGGGGCTGCCCCAGACCAGCGCTGCCCTGCTCATGTCAGCTCTCTCCCAGCACAGCAGCTCTCTGTGCCAGCAGGGCCATCTCAGGGGGGTGCCTGGTGTGTGAACATGCGATCTGGGTGAGCACAGGCACAGCCTGAATGGACATTTGGGCTGGGCAGCCAAAATCATCCCTTTCTGCTGAGCAGTGGCTAAGGAAGCACTCTTTGTGGAAAAGCCCACCTCTGCAAATTTGCAAGCCAAAATTCAAATGTTGCCCCTACCTACAGCTGTGAAAGCTCTTTTGTTTCCTGTGTTTTACAAGGGACTGGACAATTGCTATTTGGGTCAAAATTTAATCCCAGTGTTGCAACAATGGACCGTATAATGACCTGAAGGTGTTGTGGACTTGTTTTTTTCTGTAGCAAGATGGACAGAGAATAGTGATTTTTTCCTGGAGGTTCTCAAAGGAAAAATCAGATTTTGTTAAAAATGCCATAGAGAATGATTACTTCTTTCTCATTTTATTGCTCCAGTCTGCAATGACAAAATACATGAAACCCAGCCACATATCTAGTCATATAAAAGCAACTAAAAGCGCATTACAAATAATATATGATTCACCACAGTGCAATATCGTTTATAATACAATTTTAATAATCCCAGAAAAAATGGAATTTCGCCGCCTATGAGATTTTCCTAACTTGTGTGCAACAGCCATTGGATTAGTTTTCATCCAGCCTTATTTCCATGAGGCTGACACAAAACAATATTACGGTAATTCTGGAAGGAAGCAGGACTTAAAGAGTATGTGTAAACTGAGTACAATAAACTAAAGTAAATTTAGAATTAAAATAATATTAAAGAATAAGAAGGCCTGACTGTAAATCAGAGATTTAGTAATTTTTGTATATTAAAATGTCTGCCATAGCCCAGGAAAATTAAAATCTAAAAGTGGTGGAAAGTGTTCATTTTTTTGCCATCTGGCAAGTCTGGGGTCCAAAGATAATTCTAGACTTTATTAAAGTCAATGGTCTGGCTGGATCATCGTCCAGGTACAACAGAACAGCCTGGGCAAAAAACACCAGAAATGAATCAAACCAGTTACTGATCCATAAATAAATAAAAATCCATGAGTTATTGGAGAAATGCTTTAGAAATTAGAATCTCTGAAATGCTTAATGTTTTCTTTGAACCAAGCAGTAAATTGAGACAACTCACTAATTGACACGTCTATGCTGCTCATTTCCCATGCTGGAAAAAAAATCATGAATAGGCACAATTTCATGGCTATGGGCCCACGACTGCATTTCAGCAATGTCACACACGTCCTGCTGGTTGCAAAGGCCTGTACAAACTGGCTTTGAAAGTTAGGAAAGGCATGGCAGGAACAATGGTTCCGTGAGATGGACAGACAGCACCAGCATGTTTGAGTGGATTTAATGCCCAGCTCTATGCACTCTCAGCCCAGCTGTGTGCACCACTAGAAATGTTGCTGGTGATAGCAAAGTGGGAGGTGTTATTGAGTCACTTCAGAGACAAGATGCCTTGAAGAGGGATCTAGATACATTGGAGATTTGAGCTATCATTAACAGGATAAAATTCGGACTCTGCACTTAGGATGAAGTAATGCCAAGCACAAGAATAAACTGGGAGAGGAGTACCTTCCTCAGGAAAGGAAGAGGGAGTGGGAGGTGTTATTGAGTCACTTCAGAGACAAGATGCCTTGAAGAGGGATCTAGATACATTGGAGATTTGAGCTATCATTAACAGGATAAAATTTAAGTATTGGACTCTGCACTTAGGATGAAGTAATGCCAAGCAGAAGAATAAACTGGGAGAGGAGTGCCTTCCTCAGGAAAGGAAGTGAAGAGGAAGGTGATCATCTTTTCTCCCTAGTATCCAGTGATAGAACATGTGGAAATAGTTCAAAGCTGCACCAGGGGATGTTTAGACTGGACATTAGAAAGTACTTCTTTACCGAGAGGTGTTTAAATACTGAAATAGGTTTCCTAGAGAAATGATCAATGCCCCAAGCCTCTGAGTGTTTAAGAAGCATTTTGACAATGTCATTAATAATAGGATTTAACTTGGTCAGTGCTGAATTGTTCAGGCAGTTGGACAAAATGATTCTTGTAGATCCCTTCTCTCTGTACTATAGTATTGAAATCTATTCTATTCTATTCTATTCTATTCTATTTACTCTTTTCTATTCCATTTTATTCTACAGTCTGGTGAACTGGTGGGATGGATGAACCTGCTGTGTGCTCTACCAGCAGTGTGCAACTCCTCAGCTTGGACATTATCTGGATGCAGTGATTAAATATTAAACATGAAGGTGCTGCAATTTTTTTTCACTCTCCTTGGCAACCCAGCTTCTGCCACCCAGCCCTCCTGTTATACAATGACTTTGGGGGACAGCTGCTGGTGTAAACTGTGAGACAGGCTGTCATAGCAATCAGCTGAAAGCCAGGTGCTTGGTGTAAAGGGGGAAACCTGAAAGACAGACACGCTAAAATTGGAGAGATGGAGAAAAATAACAGCAAAAGGGAAGACCTCCACAGAAACCAATAACTTACCATTGCTGAAGATGGATCAATAGTCACTATAACCTCTAAAAACATCTCAAAGTGTTTCTTCAGGCTGGATCCAGCAAAGCTGTCAGCATCTGCATGAGTGATGCAGCTGGAGCAAGGCCACGTGCAGGGCCATGTGGGTGCCAAGCTGGGCTGAACCAGTAGGGGTAGGTGGGGTGACATTTCTGGCTGTCTGGCATGAAGGCGCCATTTCATTCTTTGCGCCAAGGCCCATGCCAACCATGCTGCAAGGCTACCCAGAAAATTATGTTTTGAAACAAGAACAGAGCCTGCTTAATCCTCGTTAACGCAAAGCCTCTGTTAAAAATGATGTGCACATTTTTAAGAGTTTGTTTCAAGCTGGCTAAACCATGGAAAGGGGACATTTTTTATTACCACTTCTCTTTAAATGGATTAATTTCCATTCCTCCTGAAGTGAACCTTAGGGAGTGAGGAAGAATCACTTCCTAAGAGCTAATGGGGAAGGCGTTGCCTATATAACACCACCAAAAATATTCAGTTACTCTTTCCCCACAAAGCCACTGAGTAATTTAAAAAAAATAAAACATCAGAAAACAGGACCGTTTGCTTCTCTGTAATTTAGAAGCATAAAAGGGAACTGATGCTGTAATTACAGGCTGAAAACCCAAAAGCCTCATTTTTTAAAGTTTTTTCAGTGGATTTTTTTAAAATTGGCATTAGCTTCTCCAAAGCAGGGAGAAAACCTCCAGTCAAGGGCTTTGTTAAAATTTCAATTGACTCAGGAAAGGTGCTGGAGGGGACCCTGGCAGAGCAGAGGAGTTTAGTGTGCCACAAGGCAGAGCTCCAAGCGAAGGCTAGGATTTGCTACAGACAGAATTAAGTGAAGAAGACATTTACCATGTTGATGATATTTTCCATCATACCAGATAAGTATTCTCACTTCACAGATCAGACATTTGAGGCACAGAAATAATAGAATTGATTTTAAAAAATGCTGTTGAAGAGATAAAAAAAAGCTAAGCTAATACACTTTCTGTGTTTTTCTTAAACCTACTAATCCTTTGGGTTCTGATGTAGTTACTGTACATACAGCGTAGATAGCTATATATGTGTAGCATAGATATATATGTGTGCATACACAGTATAGCTCAAAATTAGTTAATTCTAGTATTCTAGTAATCTTAGTAGTCTCAAAATTAGCTAACTTAAACTCGCAGGGCCATCACAGCCTTTTGAAAGATCTATTGCTATATTTTCAAACAAATGAAACAAAACCTAGAGGGAAAGACAGATTTGCAGTGAATCTTTTCAGGGAAGCAAAATTGGACAACATAGCTTCAAGATTATTATGTCTTTTCCGATGAAGTTCCCTGTTCTGAGATAAGAGAAACCCACCTCTTGTACCTCTGTGCCCTTTCTCAGTAATTCAAGCTGATGTTGGTAATTTTCTGTTAGAAGGTCAAAAGAGATGGTCTCCTCCCTCGCCTCAGGAACACACTGTCTCTTGCTTATGCCAGAACACTTTTTTAGGCAAGGCTTCTGACTTTCTCATTTCCTTTCCTGTTTTGTTTTGCAGGGATTTTAAGTTCTTGGCTTCCAAGTGCTCTTTTGCCTTTGTTTATTGCCATTTAGATTTTAGTTGTTTTTGTTAAGATGCTTCAGGCGAGGATGCCTGTAAATTAAAATGCATTATTATTATAATAAAGCTGCGTCACTGCTGAAAGCCAGTCTATGGCCAACATAGACCCCTAAACAGAGGGCTAAGTGAGAAGTTGGATGGTATTGACCTGTACAACATGCAAGACAGCAGAATGTACCTAATCTGGGAGGTGGAAAATATGGAGAGGGAATGTACAAAGTGGTGTTCATGTAAGCTTCTGGTGACCTGTAAAGTTAATCTTTGAAAACTGGGATGACCATGAAAACCTTTAAAACTGTCATAGGAAACTGAGATG